CAGGAAGCCCCTGCAGTTGCTCATCCAGGTTGCAGCTTACAGTCTGGCCCTATTCAGTAGTTGTCCCAGATTTGCTCAATAGTATGATGAGGGTAGAACAAGGCATAGCAGGGAAATCAGAATCAGTGGGTATGAGTTTAACTGGCTGCAGAGGCCTGGCAACACAAATGAGTAAATGGGTGAAGGGAACTGGGTGGGTCCAGGGGGAATATAGACCCAGGGTGTTCCTACACTTTCCAATTTTTCCAAGAGAAGCTAGAACTCTGGATTTTTAATGTCAAAACTGTTATGATTTAGATATGAGGTGTACCCCAAAAGCTCAAGTGTGAGACAATGCAAGACTGTTCAGAAGTGAAATGATAAGAGTTGTAACAATCAGTGAATTAAATTGGTATGGATTAACAGGTGGTAACCAGGTACGGTGTGGCTGGGCAAAGTAGGTCACTAGGGACATGACTCTGAGGTTTATATTTTGATCCTGGTGACCAGCTAGCTAGCTCATGCACTCTTCACTCGCTCTCCCTGCCTCTCCCCTTCCCGTGCTCCCTCCCTCTCTGCTTCCTGGTTGCCACTCCTGAGCTATTTTCCTCTGCCGCACTTTTCCACCATGGTGTTCTGCCTCACTCAAGCCCAAAGCAATGGAGTCAGGTGACTGTGAACTGAACCCCTCAAACTGTGAGCCAAAATAAACTTTTTCTCCTTTAAGTTGTTCTTGTCAGATATTCTGGTCATATAAATGCAAATGCTGACTTACACAACAACCAACTCAAAACTGCTTCAAATACCATGAGAATTAAATCAAGTATGATGGCAGACTTCATTCAGAAGGCTGCCACTTTGCCAGCTTTCAACTAGATGATCTGAAAGGTCTCTTCCAATATCCAGGAAGACCTAGAAAGAGCACAGATTCTCCCAAGTAATGAGGATCCTTTTACAAACACAAGGAAGCTGAGAAGCACCTTGGCTCCGGAGGCAGAGTCTGGATGTGAACATGAGAAGCCCACACAAGGAATGTTAGGGTGGGACCTTCCAACAGAAAGAAACAAAGGGCTCCCAAGGGCTGTCATGTCCATTAGACTAATGGCCCAAGCTGTGGCTTAATGCAGGCTGACCTCACAGTTAGGGATTTAAACCAGGGATGGCAAATAGGTGTCATTTAAAGCACCAATTTTAATCAACTTAACTGGCTGCCTCAAGTAATGTGCCGAGGAATATGAGATCCACATGAGTATGTGCTGTGACCAATTAGCCATGACAGGGACACAGGAAGAGGAAGTGATAGCACATAATCCATGTATTTGGCACTCCTAGCTTAAATTTCCACTGCTATTGAATCAGCCTCAGCTTTCAAAAGCCAGACCCAATAGGCAGGAGAAGACTAAATCTCATGTCACTGGAAATCCACTGAAAGTAGCAGTCTTCAAGCCTAGCATAATAAAGCTTACCCCAATGGCCCCTATTCACACATTCACCAAGTATTTACTGATTTACTTGATTTATATCAAGAGTTCACTGCTCTAAGCAAGCAATGGGGAAATGAAATGACTCAGACATTGTTCCCATCCTGGACATGCTCAGTCTAATGGAAGACTAAAAAAAAAAAAAAAAAAGAAAAGAAAAAGAAAAAAGTCACAGATAATTAAATCAAATGAGGTCAATACAGCAAGAGGGGTTATGGGAGCTGGAGGTTGGAGATGACTTAATCTGCTTAAAGGAACTGAACAAAGTAACAGTTGAGTTGGTTCTTGAAGGAAGAGTGGTTCTCTTGGCAGAGAATTGGGTGGAAGGATATATTCTAAGTAGAGAGAACAGCATACATAATGGTGGAAAATCAAATAGCCTGCCAAGGACACGCAGAAAACCTTGATAAACCTGTAGCAAAGGTTACGCTGCCAAAGGGAGTTTATGAAGGGTCCAGAATATCAGACTGTATGGACTTAATTCAACACGTGATGGTTTTTAAAGCAGGAGAAAGTATAATCAGATTTGTGGGTTAAATACATCACACCAGCTGCAATGTATCTGTCCATTCTGGGGAAGTGAAAAGGTGAAGGCTTCTGCTGATACCCTGACAAGAAAGGGGCAGATTCTAGACATTAAAGAAACTGAAAGATTCGTGGATGTGGAAGAACACAAGTGGAATGAACCAGCGGATGAAGCAAGCAGGTAGGTAAGTAGGCCGGCAGGCAGGCAGGCAGATAGGTAGGTAGGTAGGTAAAGTGGATGATGGTGCCATTCACTCCTATCAGGCCTAAGGAAAGTGCAGGTTTAGGCAGGACACAATAGCCTCCCCCCCACCCCACCGTCCCGCCCCGCCCCTGGGTTCTAGAGGGAACAACCAATTGAGGATATCAAATTGCGTGTGTTTGTCCCAAGCGGGTAGGTGGAGAAGGAAACTATTTTTACTGTGGGGCTCCCAGCTCTGGCCCTCCAATCTTCACTTCTTGCCAGGGCCCCAGAACCCTCTATCGTCCCCTCTGTGCTCTCCAGACCCTCAAGTGACTCTCCCACCTCCAAAACCTCCCTCTGCCGCCTACGCTACAGACCTTTCTAACCCCCGCCTCACTCCCAGGGCCCTCCACTTCCCTCCTCATCTCCGACCCCTCTATGACCCGTCCTATCTCCGGACGCTGCATCTTCTGACCTCACCCGCCAACCCCACACCTACGCTTCTATCTCCCCGCTCTCCTTCCCCGGCCCCCTGTAACACCACCACCTCCTAAGCTTCCAGCCCAGTGCCTGAGCCTCAGCTGCCCCCGCCCCGCCACCCGGACTCACCCACCAAGACACCCACTTCACAACAGGGCGGAAGTGCTCCAGAACTCGCGCAAGGGATTCTGGGACGCGGAGTCCGGACCGGGCCACCCCAGAAAGAGCGTCTAGGACTACAACTCCCAGAAGAAACCGCGCGAGAGCGCCAGTGGCTCCCTCTGATTGCAGCCTTTCGGATGATGTCAGCCAATAGATGTGTCATCTTCTCGTGGATCCTGGCACCGGAACAAATCGGAACAGGGCCCATGCCTGGAGGCGTGGCCTGCTTCAATCCTGACCCTTTCCGTTGGCTCTGAGATAGAAGCACCGCCCAGTAGGCGGGCACTGGTGCAAAGCGGGCGGGGTCTGCTGGAAGAACTGAGCGACCTCTGTAGACGCGGAGAGACCAAAGCAAGAAACAATGTGAAATAAGCAAAGGGGTGGCTAGAGATGAACAGACGTTTGTTGGGCAATAGAGAGACAGTTGTAGGTTCCATTTGCACAGCTACGTCGTGTGGCTTTGGATGAATTCTGAACCTGTAAAATGTACGACAATAATAACATCCATGTCACAGGATTTATGTGAGGCTTCATGAGACAATACGATTAGCTCAAGGACCCGCGGGCCTAATAATGCGCAGTGAATGTTAGCCATTATTATGCAAATCCGTTTGTACAGAGCTTGACACTTCGTGGGTGTCAGAGCAATATTAATCATTATTACAGAATAATCTTAATATAATATGTAGTTGCTTTGTACCATTGTGAATAGTTCGAGGTAAGAGCAATCTAATATGGAGCTGAGAATATGGGTTTTATAGTCAGACATAGATCCAAATCCCAGCCCCAACTACTTCCTAGCGATGTGATGTAGTCTTGAACAAATTCTGCATCACTTTTGTCTTCAGTTTTTCCATATATAAAATGCATGAAATATAACAGAACCTACATCATGGATTGTTGAACAGATTAAATGAGATGATGTGGGTAAAGAAGGGTCTCTATAGTCCAGCTGCTTTTGTCCAAAACTTATTTTCAAATGTAAGGTGCACATCTTTCTCTTTTTTCCTATTTGTGAAACTTTAAGGAAATTACTTAATCTCTTTATGTCTCAGTTTCCTCATCTGGAAAATGAGAGTGATAACAATGGTATCTTCTTGATAGGGTTGTCAAGAGTATTAAATAGGAGAAAGGATGTAAAAAGTCTGGTACACAAAAAGTTTAATAACCATTAACCATTATTATTTTGTTAATAGCTATAAGGTGTGGGGTAAATTAACAGTACCTAGCATATGACAGAGGCTTACGTGTTAGCTAGGGTTAAAACTAGGGGAAATCCATATCTTAGTTTTAATAACCCAGTTCAAATTCCTTGTCCTCTGTAAACCATGTGCCAACTTATTTATAATGATGTCTCTTGTGAATTTACTCAGTAAATGTAATTGTAACCTATTAACAGTCCTCATTGTTGAAGTCTCACAACATCCCTATGTGTTTGATAGAGTTGCCCCCAATTCGGGAGTGGGATCTTAGAGAAATGAAGTAACCTGCTCAAGAATGCATGAGCACTAAGTACCAGGGTTGGAATTTGACCGCTTGTGTGTGCCTACAAAGACCTCTTCTCTGACATTTCATGAGGAAGAGACCTCAGACAAAATAAAGGGAAGCCTCATGGGGTAGACGGAGTATGGGGTGCTGGGTGGGCCAGAGACATTTGAGAGAGTGTCAGAATCTGAAGCTGAAAGGTGGTTTTTCAGGGTCAAGTAAAGTCATCTTCCACACCTACCTTGAAGAGAAAGAATGGAAGTTGAGTATGCAGAAAGTGAAATACACCATTAGGACACAAGAGGGCGCCCCTTGCCCTAAATCCAGGAATTGTTCTATAGCTTCCCTTAGCCTTTAGGTAATAAAAGCCAGGCATTTTACAAAAAAAGTAAAGTTCCCAGTTTCCACAGTTTAGTCCCTAAGAAAGTCCCTAAGAGTCCAAGTGCCCTGCCCAGTGTCATACAGAAATAAGCAACAGAACCTGAATAAGACTTGGGTTCTCTCTAGTTCAGCATCCATCAGAGTTTGGTTTATAAGCATTCTGTATGCTGTTGTCTATCAGAACCCTTTCTCAGCTGGGCCAGCAGTAGGCTCCAAGAGTGCAGAGATGACTCAAACAAACCTAGTCCCTGCCTCCAGGATCTGATCTCCAAACTTTCCCAATCAAGCTCTCCTATGAGTTTAGGAACATTAGAGAACACATATTTCCAAGGTATGTATATTTATTTATAAAAGATACACATGTAATAATATCTTCTATAGAATATTTGTAATGCATGATTAGGTCCTGGTCTCAGTGTTTCAGACATATTAACTCATTTAATTCTCACAAAACCCTTTGATAGAGGGTGTAATGCTATTCCATAATACAGAATTTGAAACTGTGGTACAGAGAGGTTAAGTAACACACCAAAGCCTCCTGGTTGAAAAGCAGGGCATCTAGCTTTAGAATAAAGTGAGAAAAAAAAATAAAGATAAATAGAAGTTATAACATTTTCTTTCCAAAGCCCAATAGGTCATCTTGTACACCCCACTTTGGAGACACTGCTCTAGGGGCTCCCAGGTCTGCAGTCTGTCCTCTGAGACAGAGAGGTACAGGAAGTTATGAGAGCCCAGAAGCAACAGCTTACCCAGGTGGGAGGTCTCTGAAGGCTTCCAGAGAAAATAATACCTGAGATGAAACTAAACGAATGCTTAGGAAAAAGGGCTGGGTTTGTGGCTCAGTGGTAGAGCACTTGCCTAGCAGTCATGAGGCACTGTGGGTTTGATCCTCAGTACCACATTAAAAAAATAAAATACAGGTATAAAAAAAAGTGTAATCAAAAAACAAAATGCTTTGGAGGTCCCCAGGGAAAAGGTGTTCTTCAGTAAAGAGCAGTAGGTGCAAAAGCCCAGAGGCAAGAGCACATGTTATTCTGGGAGTCACAGGTGGGTTATCTTAGTTAAGCACAGTGAGTGGTACTCGGATACTCAAAAGATTTGAACACGACTTCATATTTTCAAGGAGGGAACAGGCAAGCAGTCTGTGGCCTCCTAGGCAGTGTCCCAGCTTTTAGTCCTCAGCTACCAATCCCTCTATAATCCCAGGTGGCAAAAGAGGCCTTGTGCCCCTTGAAGATCTGATTGAACTTAGCCTAGTCCCAGATTCCACAGTTTCAGAATGTCCAGAGCCCTCCCTCCTTCCCTGCATGCTTCATAAAATCCCAGCCTTATTTTCTTTGTGCTGCAGTCTCTGTGACTCAAGTTCCTTTGCCTTCTGCCCCATGTGGGTTTTCATTTAAAAATAAATAAATAAATAAATAAAAATCAAGTCAAGTATTTCATGGACTTGGTAAATTTACTGGAGGATTTGGAGATGTTGAAATCACATCACAAACAGCAAGGCCACCTGCCATTTTCCAGATATTCTCCTTCGGCCTCCAGAAGCTCCCGAAGTCTGGGTTGCCAACATTTGGTCCTCCTGGTGCCTGCAGAGCCCCATCCCACTGGAAGCTGGGTTCAGATTCACGGCCCCATATATCACTCTCTCCCTGCAAGGCGGCTTGCCTTCCCTACCTCTGCCCTAAAACAGGCCCCCGTTCTACCTGCACCGGGGCTGCCCCAGCCTGCCCCTCAACCAAGCCCAGAAGCTGTCCTTTCCTTCATCTTCTTTGGGCCATACGCAATAGTCTCCTCGGCGGAGCAGCCGGGCCAGTCTATGGTAGCGGGGGAGCTGGTGGCGGGAGACGGGCTCCAGGAAGATCAGCAGCAGCACTGGGGGGTGAGGGGCAGCCAACAGGAGTGAAGTGGCCAAGCGGAGCTCCAGACGGCAGCGAGGTGTACGTAGGGCCCGGTGACTCAGCGCACAGAGTGTGATTGGGCTGCTGGCCATGCTGTCTGCCACATTGTCGACCACATCCTTGCCTGGCTCAAAATCGCGCTCGGGGAGGCAAAGACGCAGGCCCTGGCCCTCCGGAGGGCAGCCCTCTAGGGCAGGCAGCAGCTCCTGCACCACCCAGCCCTGATCTTGCCTACAGTGAGACACGAACACATCATAGAGGAAATTCTTGCCCTCATTCTTCTGACCCCTCAGGCCCTGGAACCAAGCCCTGAGCAGGGCCTGGAGATAGAGGACCCAGGAGTTCCTGGCTTCCTGTAGAAGGGGCAAAGAGATCAGAAGAAGCAGCAAGGCGCAGCTGCCCAAAAAGAGTTCCAACTCCAAGGCCTCCTGGCAGTGGTTCAAGAGAAAGGGGAAAAGAGGATGCTTGGAGCCACCCCCTGATTCTGCCGGGCACAGCTGTGGTGGTTGTACCCACATGTATGTTCTGGGGGACCCTTCAAACCAGGGCTCCAGCCATGCATTGGCACACTGGCAGGCCAAGGACGAAGTCAGAATGTACACATATTGGGGCATCTGAGGACTCAGCTCCTGTAGACCACCATCCAGCACAAGGCCTTTCTCCCAGTCTAGCACTAAGACCTGGAGACTGCCTAAGCCCTGGAAAGCGGCAGCAGACAGTGTCTCCAACCCTGTTCTGGCCAGCTGCAGCACCCGGAGCCGTGGCAGCTCACCCACCAGCTCCTGGAGCTGCACTGGGCGGGGCCGAGCTCTGTACTTCAAGGCATCCAGCTTCAGCTCCTGGAGGTTGGGCAGCCCTGTAATGCAGCAGGGCCTGGGGCTGTGCCCATCTCCGCGTACCTTCAGGGACTGGAGCCCGGGAAGCTGCCAGAGGAAGAAGCTGGAGGTGTCCTGAGAGCAGAGGGCCTCCAGGCTACTGCCAAGAAGGGTGAGTTGACGAAGGGCCGGGAAGATTTCCGAGATGTTCTGGGTCTCCAGGTGCAGTCCCCAGCCATCTAAAGTCAGAGTCTGTAAGATTGGAAAGACATTAGGAAACAGCTTCCGGTGCTTCATGCCTGGGACTGCCTGAAGCTCCAAGCTGGTCAGCCTTTCAGGCAGGGACAATGCTACCCCAGCAGGGGCAGAGGGGAGCTGCAGTCTCAAGTGGTGCAAACTCTCTGGGCCCCAGAAGCCCCAGGTTGGCCTAAACAATATGTGGGTGTTGAGAAGGTTTAGAGTGGTCAGTGAAGGCAGAGGAGCCAGCCAGCCCCCACCCAGGTTTACCAGTGGATTTCTACTCAAGTCCAAGATCTCCAGCCTCCATAGGTCCTGGAATACCTCGCCCTCCAAGCTCACCAGCTGGTTTCTCTGAAGTAGCAGCTCCCGCAGGTGGGACAAACAAGAGAAGGTGGCTGGGGACAAGGCGAGCAGCCCATTGTCAGACAGATTCAGGGTCCACAGTCCTGACACAAATCCTGTCTCATTCATGCACAGCCTGACCCTCTGCAGTTGGTTTCCAGCCAGGTTCAATCTCTGAAGCCTGGGCATGGCAGCCAGGAAATTTGGTGGCAGATCAGTTAGGCCACCGTTCTGAAGAACTAAACTCTGCAAGCTGTGGCAGAAAGCCAGGGCTTCCAGAGTTATGTGCCCTATCTGTTTGTTTCCCACCTGCAGTTCCTGCAGCTCAAAGTGAGCCACTGTCTCAGCAGGCAGCTCAGCCGTGACAGTGAATAACACCGACAGACTCTTGAGCTTCTGCAGTCCCAGACTCAACACTGCAGCTGCATCCATCTTTGTGTGATCCAGATGCAAAGTCCCCAGCCTGAGGCCCTGGAGGGCCCCAGGACTGGCCATCTTCAGCTGCCAGTTGAATGATAGATCCAATACATCCAGGGTCCGGGCATCCCCAGAGAAGGGACTATGAGCCAGATCTGGGAAGATGTCATCCAGTTCCCCCACATCCTGAAGGCAGCTGTACCTGACAACCAGCTGGCGTAGACTGGTAGGCAATTGGATACTCGAGTTCCTGTCCAGACAAGGGCCCAAGAAATTGAGTTTTTGGAGGGATCTCAGGTCATCAAGGGCATTAGGGTGTAGGAAGAGGTAGTTCTTAGACTGAGGAGCCATAAAAGAGAGCTCCTGCAGCTGACCCAGGCCTCGGAGAGCTCCTGGCAGGAGTCGGGTAAGACGCAAATTCAACCCCAGAACCTTCAGTCCAGGGTAGTTGGACAAGGCATCCTGGGGCAGAACAGAAATGGAACCAGCAAGACAGAGCCCCTCCACACTCTGAGGCACAGCTTCCAAGGCCTGTGTCAGGTTGGTCACCTTGGTGCATACAGCAAGGAGGGGCAGTCTGGAATTCAAGGGGCAGTTCAGGAAGAAGCGGGAGACCAGGGGCAGCCAGGAGCCTTCCGTCACTAGGCAATTGGAAGCAGTCCAGCCAGCAATCAGAGGAAGTGACAGGAGCAGACTGTGTAGCAGCAAGTGCCCAGCCATCCCAGCACCAGCCTAATCCACAGAGAAACAGAATCACAGAATCAAAGCCTCTCAGCAACCCTCCTTTTTGCAAATAAACTCCATCCCACCCTCTCCTTCTCTACATGCACATGCACAGTACTTACAGCAGTGGCAAGTTGCATATCCTCAAGTGCCTGGGAGGCCTGGGAGGCCTGGGAGCAGAGATAGAGGACCACAGTGCTTCCAGACTATAAAACTGTTGGGGAACTGAGTGGGAGGGTGGGAACAGAATAGGAAATGCTTATAGCTGAAACTCCAAGGGCAGGGAAAGGAAGTACACTAGTGCAGAAGTGGGCCCAGGTCTCACTTCTCTGTTGTGAGAAAGCAAGCAGTGCTTTTAAGCATAAGATCTAGAGCCAGAGAGCCAGGATTTCACTCTGTCATTAACCTGAGCAGGGCATTTCATCTCTCTGAGCTTTGGTTTCCTCATCTATAAAATAAACCTACTAACACCTGCTTCATAGGGTTGCTGCAAATAATAAAAGGGGGTCAGAAAGGGTTTCTCACCTCATCACTTCCTTTACTACTTCCTCCTTTGACTCCTAAGAGAAAGAAGTTCTTGAGTAAATTACAAAGCAGATGTTTTGGAAGCAAAATAATATATCAAAATGATGCCACTGTGGACATCTTGCAACATTCCACATGGAAGATTCCAAAACCTTGAGCTTCACCTGAGAGGACTAAAAGGCCCTTGTAGTCTAGGGCAAGGTAGGAAGGTCTTCATGGCCTTGACCTTGACATGCACTCCCAAGATGGAGGCAAGACCCAAGGGAGGACAGAAAGAGAAAAAGGAGTTTTATGATTATATCAAAGTTGCAGTAAACTGTTTCAATACAAGCCAACATATGTTCATAATTTTAAAAATAATGAACTGACAGAAGATAAATTCCTTGACTTAAAAAAGGTATCTATTCCAGATCTGTAACAACTATAATTCTTAATGGTGAACCAACCATTGCCTTAATTGAAAGCCAGGAATGAGATAATTATTAGTATTTCTGTTCAACAGTATAATGGAAGTAGGTCTAAGCCAAGGAAATAAGCAATAAAACAAATTAAAACTTGAAAATTAAAAGATTTTAAAGGAAGAAACACTAGGTTAAGATGCTGATTGTCTACACAGGAAATCTAAGAATTTCTAAAAACAGATTATTAAAACTAAAGAATATTTACCAAAGATGCTGGATACTAGACATATTTTTTAATGTTCTAATGCATTAGTGCCTTAGTTTAGGTCTCTATAGAAACTAGCACATTCAAATTAATATTTTTCTAGCAATTTTTTGGGCAAAAGGATTGATCAGAAAGATGTTAACTGGTTTGGGGTATCACAAGATAGTTCAGAAAAGTTGGCCAGATTGACAAGCACAGGAACTGTCTCCTTTCCTAAAATTGAATGGATAAGATTGGGAGGAGTTACTAGGTCCTAGAAGGAAAGGGAGTTTTGTTGTAGGATTAGCTACCTTGACAAGAGCAATGACATTTGGTCAAGTAATGAAACCAACCTGAGGGGACATCATAGGAAGGACAAAAGAATCCCAAATGTCCTGATATCTCCTTGCCACACACTCTTTATCTCTCTCTTTCTCTCTCCTCCCTCCCTTTGATCTCTTCCCAGGATGCTCCATTGGCCCCAGAACCAAAGGGAAGAAAAACCTTAACATAATTCATTCAGTTCATCTTCTCTGAGCATAGAGCCAAATGGAGACAGAAAAGTGTATATAGTCAGAAAAACTAAAGAAACACAGCAGCAATACCACTGACAATTAGAAAATGCACTCTGATAAATAATAATAATAACAAGGATTTGTAGATAAATGGAGCAGAATATAGTCCAAAAATAGAACTAATCATATCTATTCCCTGATTTATAAAAGACACCTATTTAATTCCATTTATCTTATCCAAAACAACTCAAGATGCATTATAAGTCTAATCATAAAAAAGAAAACAATAGATAGGCATGGTGGCACATGCCTGTAATCCCAGCAGTTTAGGAGTCTGAGGTAGGAGTTTCATGAGTTCAAAGCCAGCCTCAGTAACTTAGTGAGTCCCTAAGCAACTTAATGAGACCCTGTCTCTAAGTAAAATGTAAAAAGAGGGCTATGGCAGAGTACTTGCCTAGCAGGTATGAGGCACTGGGTTTGATCCTTAGTACCACATAAAAATAAACAAATAAAATAAAGCATGCTGGCCATCTTCAATTAAAAAAAAATTTTAAATGTAAAAAGAGCTGGGGGTGTGCTTCAGAAGTTAAGCACCCCTGGGTTCAATCTCTGGTGCCAAAAAAAAATAAAACAATAAATCTTCTAGGTGAACAGAATATTTTTATGGTCTTGAGATGAGTAAAATTTTCCTAAATAGGCCACAAGAATTACTAGCCACAAACTTTTTCATAATTAACTTCATTAAAATTTGGAAAATGTGTTCATTTGAAAATGTGACTAAGAAAGTGCAAAGATAAGTCTTGCACAGGAGAAGATATTTTTAATACATATGCTTAACAAAGGACTCAAAGTGTGGGATATATAATAAATATAAATCAGAATCACACATGGGCCAAAAAAGAAACCATAATGAAAATTAGCAAGTGCTTTAATTGAATAATAACAAAAATCCACCAAAACAAAATTTGTAGGATAAACCTAAAGCAAGTCTGTGAGGAAAATGTACGACCTTATTTATCTGTGTTAGAAAACAAAACAGTGAAAGTCAAAAATTAGTGAACCAGGCAAGAGCCTCAAAAATTTAGAAAAGAGATAATTCAAAAATAAGAAGATTCTCACTGCCTCCATTATGCAGCAACATATCAAACTAGCCCCCCTACCATGAACAAATATAAAACTGGACCAAATAATGACATAACTACTCTCAGATACAGGGACATCAGCTCATTGTATTTGTGTAACTGAATAGCACAGACTGGGCATTCTGTAATAATCAGAAATTTATTTTTTACAGTCTGAGGCTGAGAAGTCTGAGATAAGACACTGGTGGGTCTGGTGGTCAGGTGAGGACTGCTCTCTGCTTCGCTTCCAAGATGGTGCCTTATTGCTGGATCCTCCAAAGAGAAGAACACTGTCATCCCATGCACAGCCAGAAAAGCAAGATAGCTAAACACTATGTGAAGCTTTTTTTTTTTTTTTTTAATACAAGGGCTTAATCTCATTCCCAAAGGAGGAGTTTTGGGCCTAAACACCTCCTAAAAGATCCTACTCTTAATACTATTACATTGGCAACATTTAAATTGTGTAGGAGACACATTGAAACCATAAAGATGAACATCCCTGAGAGAAGGGAAACAAAGGATACTAGCTCTACAGTTGCCCTGACTTTCTACCTGTAGTCATTTACTGATCCCCAGCAGAAAAGGGTGGGGGTAGGGGAGGGACGGCAACAGTATTTCTGAGCTGAGAGAACACAAGGTCAAGAAAACTACATCTGTGAACCAGAGTACAGGAGAGGAGGGAGATACAGAGAGCTCCAGAAATTTCTAGAAATCTGCATCAGGTCCCCCAGATGTTTGGACTGAATGCTAAGTTGAATGTTTCTAGGATGAAACACCACAGGACTAGGCAAAGAATAACTGTTGGAGAGCTGTAAGATTAAAATTTTCCAGAGTTCTTACAGGGTTGGGATATGCTCAAGTCTGGCCAGCCAGATATGAGAGACATAGTTGAATATGCAGAGCAACTAGTAGAGAACAATTAGGTTACCCCTTCTAATACAGTTAACATAGCCTAGAGCATAGCCTTAAAAGTCTTGAAATTATTAAGATGATCCACAGCTAGCTGTCTGCCCAAACTTTAACATAATTTTTAAAGGAAAACAACAAAGTCCAGCTTGTCCATAATGTAACATTTACAATGCCCAACATCTAATAAAAATTATAAGATGTTTAAAAAAGGAAAATGAGACTTATAACCAAGAAAAAAATAATCAGTACAAACACACCCAGAAATGACAAAGATGATGGTGTTAGCAGACAAAAATACTAAACTAGCTAGCAAAAATATTTTGGTATGCTCAAAGATTTAAAAGAAAACATGAACATAATAAGAGAAAGGGAAAATTATTCTTAAACTAATGAAACTTCTAGAACTGAAAAATTACATTTCTGAAATTATAATTTCACTGTATAGGGTTAAAAGCAGGTTACACACTATAGAAAAAAATGATTAGTAAACTTGAAGACCTAGAAATAGAAACTATCCTGCCAGACGTGGTGGTGCACACCTTTAATCCCAGCTATTTAGGAGGCTGAAGTAGGAGGATTGAAAATTCAAGACCAGCCTGGGCAATTTAGCAAGATTCTGTATGAAAATAAAAAATAAGGGCTGGGGTTGTGGTTCAGTGGTAAAGTGCTTGCCTAGCACATGTGAGGCACTGGGTTCTATCTCTAGCACCCCATGAAAATAAAACAAAATGTATTTAAAATAAATAAAGGTACTGCACCCATTTAAAACTAAAAAGATATTTTAAAATAAATAAATTTATTAAAAGAGCTCGGTTTGTGGTTCAGTAATAGAGTATCCTGCTTTTTATCCCCAGTACCAAAAAAAAAAAAAAAAAAGAGGTGGGGGAGAAGAAGGAGGAGGAGGAGAATTATTATTTTAGTTACCCTGATGGATAGAAAGAAAAAGCAAACAATCAACAGCAAAAAAAAAAAAAAAAAAAAAAAAAAAGAGAGAAGGATACGGAATTAAGTCAAATGGAACATGGATGAGTTATTGGAAAACAGAAGTGAAATAGACCATAAGAAAAAGAAGAACTTCACATATATTTGCATTTTCTTTCTTGATGTGCCATATGGATTTTATATTAGCTACTGTACTTCATCAATTCTGAGATGCTCATTTGTTCATATTTTAACACCTTTGAAAAAGGGCTGCATCCCACAATTAAAATCACATTGGTATTGCTGGTAACCAGGCAACATTCTTAATTACTGTTGCATGCACATTTGCTTCGTTGGCCATAGCTGTTCATCTTATTATCACTTCAGTTGAGCTATGCAGATTATTAGTACTACCCATTTTAGGTTAATTGTCTTTTTAACTGTTCTCAAAAATATCACACTATAATTCCACCTTGAAATAAAAAGATACTCTATGTGCAAAAGGGCATGGAAAGATAGTAGTGAGGCAGATATTTTTTGTTGGGGAAATAATGTAGGAGGAATTGAAAGTAGGACTATAATATAATTTATGGCACAGAATATATAATTTTGA